TTATTTTTATGACAATATCAACTTTTTCACTCAAGCTACATTATTAATATAATTTTTTATAAATTTCTTTTTTTGTCCAAACWTTATGCTGATAAAGGCAATTATCGAAACCAGGCACACATTTTTTCAAAATCTTTAATGCAAAATTTTTAATATTGAATTCRAAATTGCGCCAGTGTGTGCCCGCCTGTTTCATATCGTGTTAGTTAATGATAACTTGGCGTTTGCTTGTTTATACTACATAGTACATACATACATACATACATGTGTACTGTGAGGTTGTAGCTTTCGTTGCAATTATTATAATAACTATTTTTTCTTTTGCGATTTACTGTAGCATGAWTGTCACAGCTTATAAATAGCCGCTGTCCAGTATTTAAATAATATCATATTTACAGCTTGTGTGTATGTATGTTGCAATTAAAAGAAATTATTATTATTGCTTCAATTTGTTTCCACTCAGTACACGCTAATTAGAAATCGAATGCGAAGTGAGTTAGAAAAAAGCGCACACACATATACATACATKTGCACATAATTAAAACACGCGGCCAGCGGAAAATTAACAAATATTTCACGAAAATCCAAATATGTATGTACTTTGTGCGCATTTAGTTGAATGCATGATATTTTTTACAGAATGAATTTGTATGTCTTTCGTTGGCGCATTTTGGAGTTTTAAATAAAAAGAACCAAATATGTATTACACTTGTGTTTGTATGTATATGTATAATTAACTTTCAATAGCGCTTAATTATACAATAATTATATGAATGTGAGTAGCTGTATTTGTGTATGTATGTCATTATTATATATTTTCAATGTTAAATAAACGAGGATTTTTGCTGTTTGAATGTCAAATTGCTTCACTTCCGCACGGAAATYATTTCAGAGACACTTAAAGACGATAATGAAGCATTTGATGATGTCTGAGTGCAGGCGCTTTATGTCTTACAGCCGTTTTGAAAGTATAAACAAATTACAAAATCAGAATATTGATTTTCCACACAACACAATCAATAAAAAAAAACCAATAAAGCGCATCAAATACTAACTCCAAACCAATGAAATTTGTAAAAAAAAAAAAAAATAATAAAATTAGCGAATTTTTCCGCGCGCTCTTGTGACGGCCAGTAATCACTTTAAAGTCAAGGTCGCCTTACTTCAATGCCGCGCACACTCAAGTGACTGCGCTTGGTCGTAACTATATATGCGCAGGTAGTGTTGTTGTGTTGCTTATGCTCCAACTGCGCACATGAAATTGTCACTTGAGCTCCACTTCGCGCCACAACCACTTCAATTGTTGACTGACAAATGTTAAGCCACGCTGCGCCACGCCGACAAGCACCGCGCTCAGCTCACARCTTTGAAACGATTGAAATGAGCAGCGGGTCTCACCAAATCGAGTTGGTCGGCTTCGCTGGCGATAATGTGAAAAGCTCAAGTTGAGTAGCACGCGAAAGCGCGCGGAGCGGGCAGCGGAGAGTAGCAGTAAGTAAGGTTATTTCACACACAATGAAACTGAAACAGAAAGAGGGCTAAATAACACAGAACTTGCAAGCGCATACACACACTCACGCGGCCGCGTGCGCACCACAAAGAATGTTCGATAATTAAATTGGTATTTCGTTCGGCGCTGATACTCGCCTAAACAATTCGTGTAAATGCTCACATAAAGCGCGCACACGAACAAAATGTCAAATACGCCMCATATGGTATATACATATGTATATAATTACAAAAAGACGCCAACGCAAACGCTGCGCTACGCACTCGCTCTTGATTTTCCAAGCGCTGCGCTGGGCGCGCTCCGCCAGGTGCGCGTCGGTGTTACCTCACCAACCAGCAGCGCGCAGACAGCACCCAGCGAYTTGAGCCGCGCASCAATAATCTACCTGTCGGCGCCCAGCTGCCGTTCAACGGCAACAAAGCGGCGAAAAAAAAGGAAATAAAATTGAAGTAAAATCAAAACGAAGTGAGTGAAATATTTGGTAATAAAAGCACAGAATATGCGAAACATCCAACCAGTTAGTCGGACAACAACAATAAAAACAMMAACAAGAACACATATTGCGTTACAAGTAGCCGATCAAGCGAGTCACGATCAATGCAAAGCCATTCAAACGCGCTTGTCAGCCTGTCAGCCAGTTAGTCAGCCAGTCAATTAGTGTGCCAACGCGYCAGTCCGCTATATTTGCGCGCCAGCAATTCTATTTTTTGCTGATTCTCTGCTTTGCGTTTTACGTTTTTAATTTATCTAACCACCACGTAAACTTATTTGACAAGTACGAGTACACAGTCAGACACAATAGTGTTGAATAATAAATAAAGCGGGGGAAAAAAGTAAAAACAATGTACAGATATAACAACACAACAGTTAATTGAAATACCAAAATAGCAAAAAACGTAACGTGA